ATTAATTCAAGCCCATCCAAATATGGTTGGATCTTGGGCCCCTACACTAAAAAAAGGATAATGGGAGGAGTAATTAGAGAAAAGATTTGAAAAATGAGGGACTAAAATTAAAGAAATTTTTGGACACTTCATCACCCTTCCAACCAAAATTTTATTGCATTATCAAGGCCTAATTAATGAGCTTTGACTCACTTAAAAAGGAACGGTTAAAAGGGATGCAAAATGGAGGGCTAAGAATTAAAGAAAAATTAAAGGTTAAAAACTTATCCAATTGAAGGGCTAGGGTTTAGAGTTAATTTAAGGGCCAAAATCATTCCAAAACACAGCAATTCAATGATAGAGATGAGGTCAAAAGTTTGTCGAAAAATTTACCTATAAATAGGGTTGCAAAAAATTAGAGAGAATGGATGAAAATGAACAAAAACCAAAGGAAACTCTTGCAAACTTTTCTTAGGAAATTACACCCAAAAACCACTAGAATCACCTCTAAACACCTTAAATCAATTAATCAAGCAAAAAAATCAAGTTAGGTGATCAAGAATTGTCAAGGGAAAAAATTGAAGTCTAAGTCAAATTTGGTGGGAGGAAGAGGGAGGAAGAATTGCTCAATCTTTTTACCTTTTAAAGTTTAATTGGAGTTTGATTTGGTAAGTTAACTCCACCAACATAACACAAGGGTTGGTTAATTGATGTTAATTTGTAATTTATGTGCTTTAATTTATGAATTTTAGCCTTAATTTTAAAAATTAGGGTTTGGGCTCTTGGTGAAATAAATTTGGAGGAAATGAAATTAAGCTTGTAATTCATGCAATTGAGGTTGAATTATGTTAATTGGACTTGAATTTGAGGTTTAAAACTCAAAAATTCCTAAGGTTATTCAACGGTTAGCATTCAGACCTAAACTAAATATTTGAGGCTTTTTTATACTATCATGTAATTGATGTTTTAGAGCTTGATAATGACTTAGTTAGGTATGAATTAGGGTTTAGGAATGAAAAGCCTCACTTTAATTGAAGGAAAATTCATGATATTTCTAGGATTGCCTAAACTTGAATTTTTAGGGTTTGAGTTTCATTCATTTAATTCATGAATTGTTGGTCAATTAGTACTTTAATGAGTATAATTTGATGTGTTGGAAGAAAAAAATTAAAGAAAATAGCTTAATTTGACTTAGGCCTAATTTATGCCCATTGAAGCCCAATTTGGGTTTAAACATGAAATTGTACCATAAATGTTAGTTAAATTAATTCTTATTGTTAATGTTTATTTAAGCTACTTAGTATTAAAATTCTAGAATGAAATGAGAAAAAAAATAATAGGGATTAAGTTAAGGGTATATCCGACTCTAAATGGGTAAATTTAGGGTTGAAGTTCCAAATGGTCTTTAACACTTCAGTTGATTAATTCAAGCTTAGAACAATGTAATTAAATGAATTAGAATGAAAAAATTCATTAAAAACTAAAAATCAACTTATGTTACTAAAGTTAGAACTTAGGCCTAATAAGGCCCAAATTAAAAATAATGCATATAATTAGTCAAACAATACCTAATTATATTGATTCATGACATAGGATATAATTGAGAAGAATTTGATGTGTAATGGATGTTAGAAATAGAAAGAAAATGGTTAGGTAATGTTAGGACGTAATTCGGCATAATGTGGGAAATATGGGACTTTGATTTATTTTGTATAACTTTATGTATAGTTGTGCTTTTGAATGGTGTTTAATGAGTTTGAATTGTGAATGTTGTATTTGGTGAAATGTGGATGATGGTGATGTTATGTTATGTGGAATGGTATGTTGGTGTTGCTATGGATTATGGTGGTTGATGTTGTTTATGCAAGGTAATATTGTTAAAGCAATTATATTCTTGATTTTATGCACTATCCCGACATGATTCCATGATTATTTATGGCATGCATCTCATGAGTCAATCCCAATTATCCATTACCAATAAAATGCTTGTGCATGCTTAATTTCATAAAAAAAAAAAAATGTTTTAAGGTAATGAAAACATATTTGTATGTCTTGGTTTTTCCATTAAAAATTAGAATTAGTTTAAAGAATGTGATTTTCATGACTTGAGGATTTTATGAGAAAAGGACTTCATAGGTTTTTCATATGGTAATGGTAATGGTTCGGGGTCGAGCAAGTGCAAACGTGCACTTTAAGAGCCTCGACAGGGCACGTCCGTAAACGATTTCGGTTCGCCAAACACCTATTATGGAAACCCTAAAGTACCTAAATGGGACTCGTCAAAAGATAGAATAGGGGGAAACAAGAAGGCAAAAGTGGATTTTTGAACCGATTATGAAATGTATTATGACATGGAAAAAGGAATTAATATGCATATAACGAATTTCACACATGCATATACATGCACATACATGACATGCATAAGTTAACTTACTAAGTTATCGCTCACCTTGTTGCTTGTGATGTAGATAATTAAGGTACGATGGCCTATTTTTTCGCCGAGCTAATTTTTGAGGGGTGCACCAAACGTATATACCGGTATTTCACACATGCTATACATGCACATACACGACATGCATAAGTTAACTTACTAAGCTCTTGCTCACCTAGTTCTTTATGATGTAGACAATTAAGGTACGATAGCCTATTTCTCCGCGAGTTGATTTTCGAGGGGTGCACAAGACGTATACACCTTGGATGGGGTTTCGGCTTTCGAGTGGATCTGCTACATGCTCGTTTTATTTCTAGAATTAGCTATTGTCCCGTACGTGTTAGGATTAGTCGGTCCGTTTTATGCTCTAGTGAAAGCTATGAACAAGTAGATGGAGTAACTTTAAACTAATGTAGTGAGTCAATGAGTCAATTTTGTAGTAGTTGGCATTAGACTAGTTTTGTATGTAAATAGTAGATATATGTAACCGGAGTACTAATAGTAAAATGATAGTGTACTCGTAGTAATGTAGTTATTTTAAATTGCCCATTGCATGCTAGTATCCTTAGGATATTTAAGCAATATGATTAGACGCATGTTAAATAAAACGGGTGGTAAATAAGGAAAAGAATAAGTAATATAATAATGATAATAAGTTATAACTAGATAAATTAGCATAAATTAATAAGGAAAGATATTAAGATAATCGATTATCACAAAACCAATAATCCTCATTCGAGAGAATGTAAATAAAATAATAAAATGTGAAAAATTTATAATGCCTTTTTAGTTAAAGTATAGGACTTACCTCGCCAATATTAGATTTCTATGGCATAGATCACACTTTAGACATTAAGCTTAAGTCACGAGTACCTTGTTAGCGTGCATTCATTGCACCTCGATTGTAGGTTAACGATGGTAATATTCTCAACCTTTTAGGTTCTAGGTTGGAGGTGTTACATCGAAGATAGGTTTTTTGAACATAATACAAATGGATCTTCAAAAAATAGTTATTGCACAGGAGGTGGTATTACTAGAAATAGTCGAGCTAGTAAGATTATTGATTTTTCAAATTATTATAAAGCGAGAACAAATATATATGGAGAGGTAAAAGCTCTTCTAGATGGTCTTTTGATCCGTCGAGCTTTGAATATTGCGGTAGTGTTAGTGGAAACGGATTTGTTGGTGGTGGTGGATGTGCTACGAGTACTAGATCTTTAGACCATGGCAATATGAACACTTACTAATGGCACATTCCATTTCTCATATTCTTTGGCAACAAAATTGTACAACTAATAGATTAGCTAATTATGCTTACATGTACTTAAATAAAATGCAATTTCACCAATTTTGTGGATTTCCTATAGATGTTCAAATAGCTTTTAAGCAAGATAATCTTGGTTTTTATATGTATGGTGTCTTGTTTTAGGGGCTAGGTTTTCCTAGGCCCCTTAAGGTTAGTATATCCCCCTTTTATTTCCACTATTTTACGTCCATATTTCCTTTTTTAAAAAAAAGTCATCAATATTTTTTATTTTATTTTGAAAACAATTATTACGAGTAATAATACATATTACCATTAATTAAACATGGAAAATGGAGCGCCAACCGAACTTATTTATATGAAATGAAGTGGGTTATGTGACGAATTAAGTTGGTTCTTGGGTGGTTTATTAGTACGTAGCTACTTATAGTTAATAATTAACCTAACATATGTTTAAAGGAATTATTTATTATATCAAAAACTATATTCTATTTTCTTCATAAAAACAATATATAATTTTCAATATACTGAACAATTTACATGGATCACAAGTTCTCCCTATAATCTAGAGAAGGCTGTCATATGTTATTTGCTCATGCTCTTCGTACTTGAGTCAATTATAAATTACTCATTCTGATTTTGCAAAATAAGTTAAATAATCTATTTTACCTTAAAAACTAATTAATTCATTCATTAACCAGAGTAAACTATGGTTAATTTAATCACTATGTTCCACAAAAAAAAAAAAAAAAAAACTATTTTATTTTCTAATCAATTATATCATATTTGTTACTTTTTTTTTTTCTATTTCTTAAAAACAGTTAGACAAGATCAAGAAAAAAAATACCAAACAAGTTTATCCAAAAACTCAAATTTTTTAATCATCCATATTTTATATTCTAATAGTTTGTAGAAGGTCATAGAATAAATCTCTTTTTATAACGCTATAGAAATGACTTTAAACCATAAAAAAGGAGGCGTACCACGTATAAAAACGTTCTCTAGTTTGGCATCACCTACGGCCATTACCAAAAACCATTCAGGACTTCTTAGTTATTGACATCTCTGAAGATCACAAGAATGGATCATTCTCACAGTAGTAGAATATCTTCACTTGAAGAATCGTTCATATTTATTCACCTGTTTATAAACATGATTGTCTCTGCTCTCATTTCTTATCAGCTTAGCATAACCATCTCATCACATTATTTGGCTCACATATTGAGCTCTCTAACTAGCACGAGGGAAGAAAAGGAAAACATCAACAAATATTCAGAAAAAAAAATTCCAACAGTTGCCATGCATCAGGCAAGTTTAATCTAAATCTTACAGCCGAGACTTTGCTTGGTCCACCGGAGAACTCTGCAACAAACAGAGCAAACATCATTTGATATCCAATATTAATTTGCAAGTACACCTATAGAATAGGCTAAAAAAGTTGGGAATTGGTAAACAAAAGGAAACTTGCTTCATTCAGCCACGTTGTAGCCACCATACATGTGTTATACATAATCTAATGGAATGCAGCTAACCTATCGAGCACAACATATCCTCATGAAAAAGATCTATCCAGAATACAAACATGTTACATGGTTTTTATTTGTTTGAGTTGTTAAAAATAAGTCTGCTTTTGAACTCGCAGATATGATTTCAGAAAGATAGAGGAATATGTTAAAACCATTTAGGTAGAACTCATTAATTAGCTACTGCAAAGTTTGGTGCCTTAATTGGGTATATAATGTGGTTCTGGTATGCTATGCAGAATGCCATCTGGCATGAAGGTGTTTCTACAGCATAAGTTCTCAGCAACAAGTACTAGGCAATCTTAAGGACAACACTGATGATAAAGCGATGCATGATATGTTATAGTTCATGTGCTCATACTTCTAATCATGTGATAAGAATATTCACAAATTCAGGTTTCTCACCAGAGGAGCACCCTTGGCAGCTCGTTCAGCCAAGAAGGCACAAGGCTTAAAGAATTCTCCATACGTCTTTGACCATTCCTCCAATCTTGAATAAATGTATTTGGATCCAAGAGAATCAGCCCAGAACAGAATGCCACCCCTGATCCAAATAAAACAAATTGATTAAAGCAAGGGCCTAAATTACAGGAAGAAACCCTTTAACTAGCTAAAAACCAAACCTGTAAGGTGGAAAACCCATTCCCATAAGAGACGCAATGTCAAGGTCTGCAGCTTTGACTACAATGCCTTCTGCAAAGACTCGGCAGGCCTCATTCACTACTGGGAAGAATATCATCTCCACAATGTCCTTTTCTGCTAATTTCGCAAGCTGTAACACATATTAATGACCCAGAATGAGAAAGAGAGGGAAAATCTGCTAAAACATATGTTTTTTGTTGTTTGAAGTTATAATCCATATAGGTAAACGACACCTAAGACTAGAAGCAGTAAGTGAGAAAAAGAGAGAGAATACCTTGGGGTCAATGGCAACACCAGAAATGCTTCTTGCTTTCTCAATGTATTTCCTCAATTCAGGATCTGGCTTAGCTTTGCGCCTATCATCATACAAATAGAATCCTTTTCGAGTAGTTTCCCCTGAGATTGGTAAATACAGAATACTTCACAGACAAACATAGTTATTAAGAAAATCCTATTAAAAAGTCAATACATGCTTTTAAACTTCTAAAACAAAGTTTTACATTCTATTCGTGTTTTGTCTGGAGGAAACTAATTGATTAACCAGGGAAGAAACACACCCGATCTCTTATCCTCTTGCATTAATGGGATAAGCATAGATTTATAGGTTCGCTCAGGGAAATTCTCAACAAATTGCATGCCAGTTGCAATTGCGACGCCAAACCCAACCAGGTCAACCAACCTGCATGAACAAGTGAAAGTATTGGAGCTAATTCAATGGGGAAAATCATACATTTTTTTATGAAATGATACCAAGATGAACTGAAAAATTATTTTCTCCAGCAAAAAGGGAAAAATGGTTCCATTTTTCTAACGACTTAGGTACCTGAATGGGCCCATTGGCATTCCAAACTTGGTGATCACCCTATCAATCTGATAAATATCTGCACCATGTTCAACAAGTAAAAGAGCAGCTTGGGTGTAAGGAAAGAACATCCTGTTGACAGCAAAGCCTGTGCAATTTCCAACCAGAACTGGAGTCTTCCTTATTTTCTTCCCAACATCTAGCAAATCCACAATTACTTGAGGAGATGTCTGCTTGGTACGAACAATTTCCAAAAGAGGCATAACATGAGCTGGACTGCATCAGAAGCACAAAGGATTGGTTAAGCCAAAAACAAAAGGTGAGAACGCAAAGTTCATTAAAAATTCATAGAAGATAACTCCACACCAGATATTACCTAAAGAAATGGGCTCCAACAATCCTATCTTGCGACTTGGTCCTTTTTCCAATCAAGTTCAAGTCGATTGTGGAAGTGTTACTGGCAAGAATGCAATGAGGTGGGCAATATTTTTCTAGATCAGAAAAAATTTGTTGCTTCAAAGAAACATTTTCAATCACAGCCTGTTTCAGGCATCAAGAACAAATAATCAGAATAAAGTTGTTTAATTTCAGGATAAAAAATTCAATCACACCAAAAGAGAGTTATATCAAATGAACATGTATACCTCTATGACCATGTCCACATCTTTAAAGCTTTCATAATCAAGAGCGCCCTTGAGAAGAGACATGGTTTTTTCAAACTTTTCTTGTGTCATTCTTCCCTTCTTGACACGACTTTGGAGATTGGCTGAATAATAAAAGAATATTTTCTCACAACAATAGAACTTCATTAAGTAAAACCAAAAGAGAACTGAGTGACAAGAAGATAAATTAAAAGCTGATCTTAAGACAAGGCACAGGCCCCACCTCTGACTCTACCAATCCCAGCCAGCAAGAATTGATCATTTACTTCTTTCAGGATCACTGGATAATTACTGAGAACTAATGCAGTTGCTATCCCTGAACCCATTAATCCTCCACCAATCACAGCAACCTTCTTCACTCGTCTAGGTACCCAGCCCAGATCAGTAATTCCCGGAACCTGTTCAAAATCAAGAGCTGATCACGGTTTTGAAGTGAAAGTACGTGGACTGTTAAAGTGCCTGGACCAATCTTGAACAACAAATATCTTCAATATTCAGATTCTAGAGAATCATTAGGTGTATTGAGAGCTCTAAAAATTCAATTGCACCAGTTTCTTTTCACTTCAATTCTTCAGAAACCTAATTTTGGCGCATTCTCAAAGAAAATACCTATTAAAAAGAAACAAAATCTCTGCTATCAAAACTCCTGGCTTCAATCAGAATGAATGAACCTACTTGTTTACTTCTAGGATTAAAAGAAGCATCCACAAAATACTTTACAACAAGACGAATCAGCAAATTTGACCACGTATATCTTGCTAAAATGTCAAAGGTTACAAAACCATATTAATATAGCTGGTAGAAATCATATTATAAGATCTACTAAAAACTGCAGATGAATAGCCAACAGTTCCATGAGTAAAACTGCACTAGCACCTTGGTTGTTCCACGTTGAGCATAGAAGATGTGGATCAAGCTCTTGCATGTGTCAGAACGCACAAGTTCTTGGAAACTTTCAAGCTCCTGCCAACATCAGACAACTTATCACAAAGTTGAATTGGCTATATAATTAGAGGGTCAAGAATTAAAAAACATGAGGATTGGCAAGGGACCTTGTAGAGTCCAGCATGCGGACCAGAAACTATGCCATGTTCAACGACATCAATGCAAACTATAGGATGTGTGAGATTGGGGGCTTGTTTCCGGGCTTGAGCTCTTGCAAACTTGAATATTTCCCTTGCCTCACCAAGGGAATCTAATTTTTCGGTCTTGTAAAGACTAGCAATCCATGGTCTCCTACACTCCAAGATATCCAGAGCCCACTGACGTGCAGTACTTACCAACTCATTTGGTGAAACAACAGCATCCACGAGGCCCAAAGAATGAGCTTCGTCCCCTTTAACTGGTTTTGATGTCTATATGCAGGGAGGGGAGGTGGGATTAGTTTGATATTGTACAGCCGTGCAACTATAGAAATCACATGGACCAAGTAACTGGAAGACCCAACTACAACATACCAGCATCATTTCAAGGGCCTTTGAGATACCCACAAGACGTGGAAGTCTCTGTGTTCCTGAGCCAATCAGATATATGAGATTGGAAGTAAGAAAGAAATCCCTTTTGTAAAGAAAATGAGTCCGATCAATAACCATATGTGAAATCCAAGACGGAGACTGTATCTTTATTAAAGGGAAAACATTAAAACAGTTACAATAAACACCAAAGAAGAATGTAAACATCATTCCTAGCACCTTAGTTTGAGGATCTGAGGAGTTTCATCCTTCAATTTACATTTACAACTGTTAATCACCAAGTTCTTCAACATATTTTACTCAATTAGAATGATAAAAGATGAGCTAAATGAGTAACTCATACGCGAGGCTTTTTTTTTTTTTTTTTTTGGTGCATATTTAACCACAAAATACAAATGACAAGTCTATGATGTAAGAGCCAAAAAAAAAATTCTGATTTAGTTTAGTAAATAGGCTCATTAGGTTCTCATGTCATGACAATGGAAACCTTTTTTTGGGCCATTTGCCTCAGCAAGATGAAACCAAACCCTGTCCCTTCCAGTGATCAAACCATATCCGGAGCAACATGTTCTAGATTTCATGGCTATCATATCTTCACACAACAAATCATCTTAGCTGACTTTAACCCTGTCCTCCATCAAAACTATCTCACACTTTTGAAATCATAACTGATTTATCATTCTTTGTCTAGAAATAAATGATTTTGACATTCTTATTACCTAATACATGTTGTCTTTAAACACCAGCCATTAGATTTTACAAGAAATGAACATCCTTATGCTGGAATGTATTATTTAACTTTTTGAAATTTGCCAAGGTGTCATGTCTTGCAGATTTGACAACTCCCAAAAGTAATTACTCACTCTATGTACTCATCAATTCTAATTTAGTGAGCACTATGTTTTACTATCCATTCCACCTGATACATTATCCGTGCAAGAAAACAAAAATGGTCATCTATAGATTTTGCCACAAAATACCCAAAATCCAAAGCATCGACCATTACAAGAAAGTGCAAACTACAATGCACAAGTGTTTATTTTATTGAAACAACAAAGAGCACATTGAGATGTTAGAAACAGAAAAAGGTTGTCTTTTTGGGGACCTTCGAAACACAATAAATGTAAAGATTCAACTGACATACCTCCAAAACCAGGAATTATGCCAAGCTGAAGTTCAGGTAGGCCTAATTGAGCAGTAGGGGTTGAGATACGTGCATGGCATGCCTGATGTAGCAAGCATATCAGATCATCTGAAGAAATCAATTATGAAACAATACAATTCAGTATCTATAGCAAGACATACCATTGCAACCTCTAGTCCTCCACCTAAGGCAAGGCCATCAATTGCAGCAACTGAAGGTTTTTTTGCACCTGGAAAGCAAAGCAACTATTCAAATAGCTGAAATATGTCGATGAAACTTCTGTCAAAGACTTTGAAGCCATCATGAATGAAGAAGAATAAACAAAAGAGTACCTCCTAAAATGTCACTACGAACCTCCATGGATGTAAAACCAGGCTGAGATTCATTCACTGAGAAAGCATAACAGAGACTTTATTGCAGTTACAGGAAAGTATATCAGGAGCACAAGAAATATAAAATATTGAACATACTCTGTCCCCCATGAACTCCCCCAAATGAAGAAATATCAAAGCCACCAGAGAAATTGCCCTTTTCACCTGCATCATTACCAGGAGATGTTAGCTTGACATCTCACATTCTCACTCAGTTCTGATGCTTGGAAATGCCCTACAAACTCCTTGAAATTTTTATGAATAATCTCTCAATTGTTACCTGTAATAACAATTGCCTTCACGTCATCTCTTCTCAAAGCTTGCTCGTAACTGGCCTTCAAGCTGTACAACACTGGAAAAAGAGCAATAAGTATAAGTTCCATATTTTGTCACCATCATTGAAAAACATCATTTAGTTGAAGACAAGTAACTGTGACATCAAGCAAGGCTAGATGATGCCAATTGCGTTCAAACTTTTGAGTAGAATAAGAATATACCGGGATCCCAAAAGGCAATTTCAAATGCTTCCAGTCATTATCTTAAACTAGAAATATTAAGATCCAACCAAGTTAACAAACTTATAGCATTATACAAATTTTCAAGAGTAAGAAAATAGACCTTGAAGACAGTCTCCTAATTCTCAGAAGAACCAATTATGTAACACCAACAATAAGAGGATGGAGAGAGAATAAGAGGATAGAGGCCCTTTACCCCACCAAAAATGCAGTATGTCAACCTAACACACCAATTTTTCAAAATTATCTCTTATTTCTCCGGGTTAACAGAAGTTGAAATATGAAAGACCAAATAGAAAACCACAATCCTGTTTCTTGAAACAAAACAACCAGCCTCAAAACCCAAACAAGGATCCCAAACTAAAATAAAATCTTCCAAATCTCTACACTAAATTGCAGGAAAAAGGTAAAAGAAAATCACCACCGAAAATGACCCTTTTGAATTCTTTAATATAGAGTCAGCTCTCTTTTCGCATGATCATCGTGGACTTTTTCGAAAAAGAAAAAATCTTCTTAATCCAACACATAAGAATTAGTCCACTAACCGGCCCAAAAAACAAGAAATCAAGCTTAGATATCAAAAGGATCCACATAAAACGAACAAAATATACAAGATCTAACTTAAGTCAGATAATAATTATAAAAGAAAGAATGATACCATCAACAGAAAGAGAATTAACAGGAGGATTGATGATGGTGATTAAAGCCACCCCATCAGTTCCAACTTCAACTGTGGTTCTTCCCTTGGTTCTGCTTCCTTCCATTCTCTTTTTCTTGCTTCTGAGATCTTCTCAATGCTGTTTTCTCTTTTCTTGTAGGTCTCAATGAGGTTTGGAGTCGTGTATTAATATAGAAAGAGTGACGTTGGCACGTTGCAGAGGTACGAGAAATGAGGTTTGGAGTCGTGTATTGATATAGAAAGAGTGACGCTGGCACGTTGCAGAGAGGTATGAGAAATTTTCTAATACAGAGGAAAGGTGGCACGTAATTACTCTTTAGCTCACTTTGTAAAAAAATAATAATAATAATAAAATATTACATTTATAATCAAAATAATAAAAAGATTTTCCCATCATTCAAATTTTTTATTATTTTTTTTCTATCTTTTTTATATCTATCTCTTTTTTTAAAATAAATTTATAAAGTGATTATTGTGAATGTTACACTTTTATGTATTATAAAATTTATTTAGAGGTAGTTTATAAGAAAACTCAAATTGAACTGGATGGAGAAAGAAATTTACAAGATGCGGGCAACTTTGTTTTTTTGTCGTGCATATCCAATCCATGATTAAGTTATAATTTTGCAAGATTTAAAAAAAAATTCGGTTTTATAGAATTAGTTTGAAAATATGATGAATTGTAAAAGACAAAAGAAAATGTTCTTTTATTTAATTGCTAATTTCACTATAATTTTATGCTAAAAAGTTGCAATGTATTTTTGATGTTTTAACTTAAAAGTAAAAACATATTAAGGGTATGTGAATTTTCAAGCATGTAATGCTTTAGTTCCATGTAAATTCAATGGTACATTTGTAGAAATCTCTAGCTTTAAAAATATTTGGGATAATTACCGAAAAAACTTTATAAAAAAATCTTATATCTAAAAAACTCACAAATTTATTTTTAAATCTCCTAAAACCAAAATAATATTTTTCTTACTAAAAACACTCAATAGTTAACATTAGTTAACTATTGTTAACTAATGTTAACTATTGAGTGTTTTTAGTAAGAAAAATATTATTTTGGGCTTGTGAGATTTAAAAATATTATTTTGTATTTAGGAGATTTAAAAATGAAATAATAAACTTTTTAGATAGAAGATTTTTTTAAAAAGTATTTTGGTAATTATTCATAGTTTAAATGAAACCATTATCTTTCAAGATATATATTTCTATTATGGATGATCATGTTTTATTTAATTAATGCACGAAAATATGTTATACATTCATCTTCTAATTTAATTTAATTGTTTGATAAAAAATATTGAGTTTTGATTAATTAAAAACTAGTATTACCGATAATAGTTTTTTTCTATTAATGTATTAGGATTTAAGAAATCCCTAATGTTCATAATCATACATATTCTTATTTTTCTTATTTATATGATAACATTTTGATTAAATTACAAGAGAATAACAATAGTCTCATTTCATCAATATTAATTAGTTAAATTGCATCGATTGCTATAGTTACTAAATAGTAACATTAATCTCGTAATTAATGAAACAAACGGTTGATAGAAAAAAAACTCTAATATAAGGAATTTTTTAGTATAATAAAAAAAAATAGTCGAATGTTAGTGCTTAAAAATTTTCTATCTAAAAATCTATCAATTTATTTTTTAAACCCCTCAAACTTAAAAATAAAAAAATTATCTTACCAAAAAACCCAATAGTTAACTAGTGTTAAGTTGGAGATTAACTATTGAGTGTTTTGGTAAGAAAAATATTATTTTGGGTTTGAGAGATTTTAAAAATAAATTGATGGGTTATTTGGATATAAAATTTTTTTAGAGGGTTTTTCTAGTAATTATCCCAAAATAGTTTTTGAAAAAAAAATTATTCTGTGATATAGAAAATATATCCATTCTGATTCCACTTGCTAAATTTTAATCATTAAATGTGCTTACCATATTTTTACATTCGAGCATGAAACCATCAACGATCATAATATTTAAGAATGCTGTTGAGGTTGTTGTTTTACTATTATATCGCCATTAATGCGTCATTAATGTATCAAAATAGTAGTACCCTTGTCGGTAAGAGTTGGCTCATAAATTTTCCTAACAAATACCTAACAATTTGTTAAATGATAGACGTGCAAAAGTTTGATAAGGACAGAAAGAAAAATTCTTTACAGCCTGTTTCGTTATTATAAATAAAATGTCTAAAATAAAAATACATTAATTAAAATGAAAATTAAAAAATCGAAATAGTATTTGCATTTATATGCTGTTTTTGAAATCCTAATAAAGAATCAAAATAAAATTTAAATTTTTTTTAATATCTGATCTTTTATATCAATGACAATAATAATTAAAAAATAATTTTATCAACTACAAAAATAGTAAAAATAATAGAGATAATTGAAGCAGTGGACCGTGCTAGCAATAGAGTAAGAAAAGGATGAATAAGGATGGTAATGGTAATAATAATAATATATTTAAAAATATTTGTATCATAACCATAGGAGGTGATAGTAAAAAAAGAGTAGTGGTAATCATGATAGTAAAGAAAAAATGATGATAAAATAATAATAATATTTTTTTATTATCACTCGTCAATGGAAATGATGGTGGTTCCGGTAGTGATGGTGATAGTGATGTAAATAGTTAATACATAATAACTAAAAATAATATATTATTTTTTTAAAAAATGTATTCTTATTTTTTATTTTTACTTTCACTTCCCACATGAAAATGAAAATATCATTCTCATTTTCACTTTATTTTTTTTTAACCAAACAAAGAACTACAAGGTGGGAGTAACACTTTTATTCTCATTCCTATCATTTCACTTCTTGCAACCAAACAACACCTAAGGATAAAATCAAATATTAGTTGAGTATTGTTTTTTCCTTCAATATTTTTAATAAGAACCATAAATTTAGTAAAAAAAAAATTCTATATAAACTAGAATCAGTTCATAAAATCAATTTGAAAATATCATAACCGTCGAAATAAATAATTCTAATTTAAAATATATTGCGAAAAAATGTAACTTACAATAATAAATTAGTCATCATGTCTCACTGATAAAGATTCTTAAGAAATTGGCATGTTAGAATCCCTCAAAAGAAATATATTACAATAGATAAATTAATGTTAGCAGCAATGGCGTTAATACAGTTATGTGCATTATATACTATTCAGTTCAACCTCCAACATTTGAATTCAAATGTAAATTATATAGTGATGTATTTTAATCCACGTTTCATTTCAGTTTGCATGTATTTATCAAACCAATTAACAAAATACAATAATATATTAGGGCTAAACAGCTCTAGTTTTCTTTAAATTTTAACCCATTTAAAATTGAGTCTCTCAATTTCAAATTTAATTTTGGAATCCCTAAATTTTAAATTTTTTTTGAAATTTAACTCATCTTTCAATTTTCTATTATTTATCTCAAAAAATAACAATTATATAAATAGTTTCATGATGAAAATCATTTAGTAAAATTTATATGGGGCTTCTCAAAAAATTTAAAATTATTTTTTGGTTATTTTCTAATTTTTTATGTTTTTAATATTCAAAAAATAAAAAAATGCTTTTCGATTTTAAAAAAATCTGGATTTTTTATAAAATGGAATAAATTTTTTCAATATGTGTGTAAAATTTCAACTCAAAATATCAAAAATTAAATTTTTTTTTAAAAAGATAATAGCTAAAAATTATTAAAAGAATTAAATCTCAAAAACATAAAAAATTAGAGATTTTAAAAACTAAATTTAAAAACGAATTAAAAATTCAGGAAACGTTTGAGTTATTTAGCTGTATGTTGGTATAGAAAACTGTCAAGGTGTGACCGGCCGTGACAGATCTTAAAAACACTCCATTGCTGAAAAGTGCTTTCACGCCCTTCACTTGCGCGGCATGAACGTGGAAGGCTGACTGGTTTTTTAGTATTATTTTCATCTCGAAGTTCTAAATATCCTAAAGATCGTGTTTCCAAGAATTCAACCTGTTGGAAAGGACATATACCAAAGCTATCGTGTCAGCTACTTATTGGTTATCTTTGCTATATTTAAAAAAAAAAAAATGTGGAGCACCACCACAAAGGACCAGATCTCTAAATTTGGAGTTTGTCGATGATTCCAAAGCCCACACACTTTTCTATGTCATTTGTTTTCAATTTGTGCAGGCACTTGACACGGCCTTAAAATCAACATTCCTTTCCTTGTCTTTTTCAACCACCATGATTTGCGCTTATAGAATTTTTTTTTTTTTGCTTACATTTTTTCACTAAATTTCTGGCATGGAAACTAATGGGGTTTTTCAAAAATATTATTCACAATGTTACACTTTGTTTGTCTGTGTTTCTATTTACTGAATTCTCAAAATATCTATTTACCTTTTAAAAATATTCATTTTATCATTCCACCTATTATTTTTATGATTTATTTTTATTTCACTGACTCCAGTTAGAATTAATCTCAACAACAACAGATACAGGGAAAAAAAAGTTCATGGGATTAGAGTCTAAATGGATTGATAGAAAATTAAGATGATGCTTCCTGCTGATGTTTATTTTTCGCCTATTATGCTGCACGCCTTAAAGGCTGGACAAGTTTGCCATGATTTACATATTTCACCACAATTTGATAAAGCATAGGCCAAAAAATTTTACAACAGAAGCCATTGATTCTGCCATTGCCCGAGAACTTACCTTTTTTTTTAGCGCAATCAATTATTTTGTACAAGAACTTTTTTTCTCCACAAAATGCAACACCTGAATTTGAACTAAGAAAAAGAATTTGTAGTCCTCTGCCTTGTTACTCGATCATGTTGCGAAGATAATATAAAATAGATTAAAAAAAAAAGTACTCTAATGTATACATATATATATATATCCCATCTTTTTCTAAATCTTAATCCTTTTCCTAAAAAAAAAAAATCTTTCTTTTTTGATTGGACCCATTTCTTTGATTCGTTTTGTATAGATATCAAAACATGCACACTCTGAATTTTTTTTTCCCTGTTGAAATGAAAAATCAAATGTTAATTTTCAATCACAAAAATCAAAATTCAAGACAAATTAGAA